GGACACTATAGTAGTAGCAGTATATAAACGTTCTAATGAAGTGTTAAAACTTTGTCATTCATTCTGTTGATCAAATATATTCAACCAACAACGTTGGAATTTGTTGCCTGTTGTTTGATATTAATATATAACTGAAAGTTTTTGGATACTACTATCTATTTAATCTGATTTAATCTTCTCAACGTTTCCACTCACTGCTCTATGATGAACTCTTCTTCACCTGTAACATTTACCCATACACTCCTTCACAATGACTATTGCCAGCTTTTACGTCCGCCTCTTTTCAGATAACATCATACTAAGGTTACGCTCAATTAAACTCTAAAATTGGATAAAGCTAAAGATTGAGAATTTCTTTATAAAATCTCTTCTCATAACAAATTTTGCAATCGTTTGTTCAGCCATTTAGCCGATATCGTCTGCTAATTCATTACTGTTTTGGCTTTTCATAAGAAATAGACAGTAAGTGTAAAAAAAAAAAGAAGCATTAAGAATCTGATAGAGAGAAGGACGAATTGGTAGAAGTTTTTTTTCTCAACCAGAGACGACAAACCAAAAAAAAAAAGAAGTTGAGGAAACACTACAGTAAATTAATAATCATTTTGAAATTTTTAATTAGGCGATCACAACCATTAAAGTAAATGAAAGTCTGCAGTTTCCCTTTTTTTTTTTTTTTTTTTTTTTTCTGAAAATATTTGCAGATCCGATCGAAAAAAAAAATGGTACTTTAAAGAACAAAAAAAATTATAACGACGAGTTCTTCGTTCTGAAAGCAGTCGTCGTTTAAATAGTGTCATCACCTTCACATCTAGAAACAAAAGAGTTTTCCATTATCCACTTCAGTGTTACGACATTAAAAAATGTTGATATGTAAAAAAATCCGTTAAAAGACGAGACTAAAACTATTAACAAAAAGAAAAATAATTAAAAATGTAATGCTTTTAACGAATGAAATTAGTTTTCGGTGCATTTGTACAGCAAAACGTTTCACTTTTTTTTTTCATTCTTCTTAATTGCTTTCCCCAAACACAGTACTTATACTCCGTTATAAATGCTTATTATTGAAGACTATCTGAGCTTTCTTTTTGGTAGGGGAGTGAACGGAGGTGAGGGTGAACGAAGTGTTAATGGGTGAGAAAACTTATTTCAATTTGAATATAGTAAATTTTGTCGACAGACTTCAGACAAATTGACATTTATTAAGTTGCTCCCGCTGTTATGCCTTTAAATAAGGAATATGCAATTTCTTATCAGTATTGGAACGTCGTTCATTACACTGAATTGAACGTCAAATCTTCCAGTGTTGTCTCAGTTTCATTCAAAAACTTCTTCTGTTTTTTGTCTCCAGATAACTATTTGAAATTTCCATTTCAAATTTATAATTAAGCAAAAATTTTAAAATTTTTAACCATAACCGATTTCAGCTGCGGCAGTAATCAGATTTATCTCTTTGATTTATCTCGAGCCTCCAACCTGATGTATCCATAACATAAAAGTCCCATACAACGTGTTTCTTCGCTTTATTCTTGAAGTTTTTTGTTTTCCTTTTTAGACCAGTAAAAACTTGGTTATTGAATTCGATATGACTGCATAGTAGACTAATCTTTATATAGACAATTTATTTCCCACCTTATTTGTTAAGTAAAACGAAATTGTAAACCAATGTGTGCCACTTTCTTAGTATTGTCCTTTCCAATACTCATACCAACTTCTTTCTCGACAGTCCGTATTTAACGTCCGGAATTATCTTCTAGAAAATATTCATCACTAGATAAGTCAATGAAAAAGAACAAAAAAACATTTGTAAAGTTGTTCTGCTGCATTTTTCCTTAAATCATTTAGAAATAAAAAAATTTATAATTTAATTATACAAGAGTTCTATAGCTTAAACAAATTTAACTTAAAAGAATTTAATGACCAGGTTATCTGAATCACAAACCAGAACTTTATAAGGTCGGTTTTGTGGTTACTACTTGTAAAACAACCATGCTTTTTTGGCCAATTATAAAAAGACTATTATTAGTTCCGTGTATAAAAAACCTCTAAAATACGTCATTTCTCAGTAGGTTCCTCCTTCCTTAAGCTGCACTCGGTCTGCTCAATGATTTTTGTCCGTGCTTATATAAGTCTTTCAATTCCAAAAAAATCTATGCTGTCTTAATACAAGTGAACAGCGCTAAATAAAACCTCAGAAACTTCCGGCTATTCATGTGCGCTGATATTTCTTATTAACTACATCATTGTCTTGTCATAAAATTTGTAGATCTTGAAAGCTAACTATGGTCGCGCTTACCAATGCCTTTGCCGTCGTTATTTTCACTATTACACCTTTTATCGCAGAAACTTCGGCCTCAACACTAAGACAGAAACGTCAATTGTCCCCCCTGCTAGAATTAGAATACAAACTTGGACCCATCATGCGGTACGAACCATCACGACAGGTAACTTTCTAAAATTTATATTGAAAAACATATTCAAGAAAACACTATTTGAATTTCAAATTAGGATCCCCACTAAAATTCTCATTCAAGGGGTACAAACGCTCCTTCCGCGATCTCGCTCAAGAATTCAACCAACCGGACTTGACGTATGACTGGGTAGATAACAAAAAAAGAGACTTAGCAATTGACGAATACTTCAAGGTTCCTACTTAATTCATATCAATACTCTTACCAAAATAAGTCTTTTTGCTTCAGCACACGCTACCAAGAAGCGCATACCGAGCTTTTTCACCAACTCTTGATCTCGAATACCGCTTAAAGCTTGCCAGATTTCTCGAAGAATCCGGATTCCTAAACTCGTGATAATTACCAATCGAAGCAATAACGCCTCTAATACCGTTCACATTCAAAATTCAAACAAATTGATCTCAAATTATGAGGCCCGAGCCACAATCATCTCGTGTCAGAAACAAAGTTTTCTTACATTCGCACCCCTTAGACATGTAACCAAAATAATAAAATTTTGAAATACAATGAAAACACCGATTAGAGCCTCCACATCTATAAATTTTAGTAAACGGATTTCACCAGCAAACGAGTAACAAGCTACCGATACCAACAAAAAATTTCCAAAACGATGAACATTGTGAAGCCTGAACACTGCTTCGATAACACAATCATTCTAGAAGATGAATATGATTTGAATATTTAAATTTTCATGTACAAACTCAATTACAAGCTTGAAAAAGACAACACGTAAGCAGAGAAAATCTGTCCAATACTTCAAACCCAAACAAAAAAACTCCGAAAGCATTTTCTAAAAAGAAAAAAAAGTACATCAAATTCAATCAGGGTCCACGATACGCACAGGAAAAGCTGCTACAGTTAATAGAATCCCAGTAACGAAAAATATAAATCATTCCTTTCAGTCGTAGAAAAATTTTTGTCGTTCAAACTTGATACTCACTAAAAGTTTCCTACAACAAATCTAGCTTCCCTAGATGATCGCAAAAAATGGTATTAGAAAGGATATTACATTAACATATGCGATTGCAGAAGTGTTACCAATAAAAGAAGGGTAATGGATTAATCACAACTTGCAAATCGGTAATTTACGCTTTGAATAAAAACTCATTTGGAGAAACGCATTTATAAAAGAACTAGTCCAAAATGTACGAGCAGCGACGGCGAGACTCAATGATCTGGAACTCGGCCTGAAAGGCACTGGTTCACAACTCGACTACAGGCGGCATCAGGCTAATATAAACACACATATGTTCATTTGAAAAAAGTTGAGAAGTCGCATTTACATTAGAAAACTGGTAACGAAACAACCGATATTGCCATTTGGTGACCTGAACAGTGAGAACGTCTCCTATCTTGCCTGCTGCTAGTTGAACAAGATGTCTGCTAGTGACCGCAAGAGTAATTAAGTTACGCGCACTAATCGCGAGCACATTGAGTTGGTAACGAAACAATGAAATTTAAATTCAATAAAATAAACTATGTTGAACAAGCACCAGACGCACCTCGAAAATGTGAAACCTCATCGACGTCTCACAAAAGTTTATAACGTTTAGTGCCTTTAAGGTATAGCAACTCCAACTACCTTGCCTGATCCTGAAATCCAATCTGCCAAATGTCTGATCTGTTTAACAGCTATACAACTGCTCAGATAAAAAAACCAACGCTAGACCATCAATCAACAAAAAAAAAAATTGAGAAAAACTTCCTGGAAGCAAAAAAAACACATTTGTAGTCGGCAACCACATTAATAACAATCATTCACGCAAGCGCCTGATCTAAAACCTACCACTCGCTTCAAAATCCACTTGAGCTCCAATGTTCTTTAGAGCCACTGTACAGTAAAGCAATGCTAAATCGTCCATTTTAAATCCTCCCTTACAAGTAACTTTTGCAAAGTGCAACAAAACTTCAGTACAAAAAACAAAGCACAGATAACAACGCTGCACAGATTCATGCTTTTGCAGAAAGTGTGTTCCTTTGCCACGCTGCAACTCTAATCCAATGCTTAATTAAAAACAAAACGTTGGCCAAACTCGGGGAAAATTTTCTAAATCATTCAAACTTCTTTTCAGCATCCACAGACCAAACACATGTCCAGATACTGTCAAAAACTACGACACTACTTAAACTACCATACAAACCGTCCCTTACGCAAAACAGTGTCTCACTGCAGTAAAAAATTGCCAAACCCACCACATAAATTGCCTACCAATTCGATTTAGCTGCTCCCTTCCCACTGCACCAAGGTTTCCAAGCGTAGAGTTTTGAACTCACATATATAAACTACAAATCTTTTCCATAACTAATTTCAAAAACACTCTTTTTTTTACAAAAACTGCGACTTTCTAAATAAAGAATTACTTCGTACATAAGATACGCTTCTTATGCAAAAAAGACGAAATCACTATCTTTAAAAAATTTCAAAAAAAATTAATTGAGATTAAGTCTTTTATGAAACCAACAATGTGACGCAGATTTTACTCATCTTGTAACAGGTTCATCATCTTTACCGACTAGATATTTTAAGAATCTTACTAATTTCTCCATCAATTAACTCTAGTAAATCTCCACTGGTACTTATAAAAATACAGAGATGTTCTTCAGATCACATTAATAAATAACTGCATCCCATGCACCAACAATTCAACATGGTAAATTTATACGGAACAAAACAACAAACAAAACCCAATTACAGCTTTAACTAGTAGCAACTGTATTGGTCTGTTGCGTCGCTCTCTGTTTCTTTGGCTTTGCAACAGTTCCCTCACGGAAGTGATTCCTAAAAATAACAAATTAAAACATTAAAGCCTATTACAAATGCAAGGAGACAAAACCCAAACTACAATTTGCCAATAAAGCTGTACAAAAAATCTGACTTTTGGATAAGAAAAAACAAAACTGAAGTAAAAAACGCCTAATGTTTCAATCACGCTTATACATTAACGATACTGGGAAGTTCACAAAAGAAGAAGTACAGCCATATTTGCAACTTACTGCTCTAGCCCTCCAAATGCGCAAGATCACAGTCTTGATGCTTTAATTTATCATTTTCACCAAAGAATAATAAAAATTTTCAGAAGAATGTTACTGCACCATTAAAATGAGCGAAGCGCTAACGATGATGTACAGAGACGTATATGTGTCTAAAAAATACAAGACATATAAAATAATATACCTAAATCGCCTTCGAACAATTTTTAAATGACGCATGCGACCCGTGCCAGTTGTACGGCGTCTGATAGACTTGATTGACCATTGATATGTACGCTTTCGAGCTGCTGGATATCCACAAGAGGCACACGTATGCTTCTGAATATGGTAAGACGACCGTCCACAACGCCTGCAGAGTGTATGCGTTTTGTTATGGCGTTTACCGAATGATGACGTACCCTTCGTCATTTCTGAAACAGATCTTTGTTTTACCACTCCAACTCACAAAAATGGTAATCAAAGTCGAAAACTATGCGCACGATATTTACCTGAGAACCAAGCTAGTTTTTAACTGGCAACTACAAAGCGCACTACGCCATCAATATACCTGGCACCAAAATCACATCAAAAAACCTGCAGGGTAACAACATCATAAACAATAAAATTTCGTTCTTAGGTTCCAAAAAAAGCCAAGGGTGAGATAGTTAAGAATTAAAATTGAAAGAGCGTTGCAATATTAAGGAAAAAATTATATTTTGCAAGAAAATTCAACAAGCTGGAATTTATGTACGAATACAGAAAAGTGCAACAGCAGAGTAAAGGTAAAGTTTTAAAGACTTTCAACTGACGTCATAGAACCTTAAAGACCTCAGAGTTCCTTTAAAATTAATGACTGCGCTCAATACAATCCTAGCAGAATTCCAACAATAAAATTCTCTTGCCGTTCTCCTAAAAAACAACCTTGCGCTTAAAACATCTGTATTAGGAAACCTCAAGAGATCTACAGCAAAGAAATAAACCTAAGACTGAGACCAAAATCTATATCTGGCACTTCACGGTACACATCATGAACTGAAAACCATGACAGCTAAATCTCTCAAAAGTGATCAAAAAATTTTTGTTTTGTACAGCAACAAAAAGTAATAGAGCCCTCGAAAAAATGATGACATTCTGACCTTCAACTTATGGCATTACTGCTGGAAATACTCTTATAAAGCGCAAAAAATTAACTTCTCAAAACTTCCATCGTGAATTACAGAAAAAAGAAAAAAAAATACCGAATCAAAAAAGTACTACAGCGAGGTAGAAAGCACCCTAAACAGTAAGGCTTACCACCTCCATACAAACGACGAAGTTTCACGGCCAAGACTCCAACTTTTAAATCTCAATAATTGCAGCAGAATATTTATTTCTTCGTTACAGCTCTATTGCGTGCGCTTCGTTGCTTAGGCTGCGAGACATTTCTTGGAGAATGTGTGTATGAACTATTTTATGTCAAAATACTCACTTTTTTAAGCCTACGTATCGGAGTTTTTTAAAGTTTTACCGGTTGGCAGAGTCTGGTTTCAAATTTGTAAAATTAAAAAAAGATCTAGAAAAGGTAAAATTTTCCTCACCTGAAATCGTGTTCAATAACAGTTAGAAAAATCCATAATTTTTATCCCGATATGACTGCTTGAAAAACTCACAACTCTGCACCAAGTCGTAAAGAATTAAAGGTTCTTCACTTTTGGTATCTTCTATAACTACCCAAAAACACTAGGTTGGAAGAAATAAAGGTAGAATTGGAGCCGAAATGCATTTAGTAATTTGGTAATGAGAGATGTAGTCTAGGAAAAACTTTTTGGAATGAGCGATAGATCTTTTTTCCTAAAAAGATCTTGTCTTTAGCTTTAGGTTTTTATTCATTTGTTTACTGTATCTACTCATAAGATTTTTACCAGGACAATACTCATAAAAACTCACGATTTTTTCGCAACTTTTTTGTCCAGTCGTTATTGTTCCGTGAGTCATAAAAAAAGAGTGAGCAATGTCAAATACGCAAACTTTTTTTGTATAATTCTTTTCTGAAAGAATAGATTAAAGTTCATACTTTTTTTTTAGATATCTATCTTCCTTCTTTCATCAATACACATACACTTTACTCAAATTTACTAAACCGTGCATCGAGTTATTAATTATAAATTACCTGTCTTTGCTGTTTTTTTGGTATCGATTATTTTCGGTATTTAGCACCAATCCTCTTACTTGACTTAAAAAAAAAAGACAGAAAATTACTTAAGCCTGCACAAATCTTAGGTTATCGCTTATCTCGCCTTTTGTAGGTCGATAATTATTCCTTGGCATCGTAAGGCTACTAAGTACCAATAAACCTTTTTTTTTTTTCTAAAACACACTTTATGACCGCCTGAACGGAGACGTTGAAGTGGAACGGATAGGCGCCACAGAAGGGGGCCAGTGGCTCCCAGAAGATCCAGAAGAAGAAAGGTATTCTAGAAAAAAATTAAAACAATAGTCTTTGTTTTAAAAAGATATTCTAAAGTACATCAGATCCATTGACCCAAAGAATAGCAGTTAACTGTAACGGTGCTACGCTGTCCAGCATTTCGTTTTGTTAATTTGATACTGTTCTGAAATATGGATCAAATTCCAGAGCATTTGTCAATAGAATTGAAAAAATAAAAAACTTTAACTGTTAGAAGTAAATGAAGACAATGGAAAAATTTTTGGTCATTTTAGTGTCGTTAGATGAGTAGAAGAGAAACCGCTAAATAGAACTGAGGTTGAAAAAATTAGTTTATTGTTAGCAGAGTATCTACTTTTAAATTTAAGTTTGACAGAAAATTATCCGAAATAATTTAGGTGCATCTATACAGTGGAGTTGGAGAGAAAACGTTTGGTATTAGACAATTAAATTTCAACAGTCTGTTCATGAAATTGTTACTGTTTTTGAATTTTAGGTTCGCTTATTTGTCAGTATCTATTTGGTGCTTATAAGTATCAACTATTATGGTGGATATAATTGTAAAAAAGAAGTGTTTAAAAACTAAGCAAAAAAATTTCATTAATCTACTAAAACTTTGTTTTACAAGAAAAAAAGAAACAGAAAAAAGGAACAATGCTGATGTAAAAGAACAATTGTCGATTGTTGATAACAACTTTTTTTTTTTCAAATTTTAAAAGTAGATTAGTGGTGATAAGAAGAAAAACGGTTTGGATGTTCAATGGTGATTATTTTGCAATTTTGGATAGACTATAGATTCAACAGATCATCATTATTCAACTCGGCCGTTCTTTGTTAATGCCATTTCATGGTCATCAAACTGTGAAAATCGTATTATCAATAAAAAAAAAAACCTTTTTTTTTT